GGGTTGTTAAATGTCATCAGTCAGTCATACTTCTCCTCACCCATGTCCTTGAACCTGTTTCAGATCTTGCTGTTGTTCATTGTGCTGGTGGTGCTCTCGCTGATCTGTGCCGTTGCCAACCACATCTGGGTGCAACGCAATGACCAGAAACACTGGTACCTCTTCTATGAAGGTAGACACCTCACTGTTTTCACATTTTAAAAAATCCACACTTTAGCTTTGTGAAGAAAAGGTGTTTTAGTTTACCGCTATATTTGTATTTTTTGTTTTCTGTTTGTAGCTTGTCATATAATCATTGCTGCAGCTTTCTTTTGTGTAAAACATTGTGACATTGCAGTCTCTAATTTGTTTCTTGTTTTTGGTGGGGTTTTTGGGTTTTTTAAATTTAAAAACCCAAGGAATTTCCACCATGTTTAGATTTGCCATATTTTGTTTTCTGTGGTTTATGGTCATATACTGTTGTTCATGGCATTACATGTATTACTCCTTGTTCACTGATAGCATTTCTCTGTAAAGAGAAAAATTAGGGGCGAAATTTTCCTCTTTTTTTCCCTTGGTGATATTCAATGTTGGTTCCTTTGTTTGCGGTGTGTGTTCCTTTTTCCTTGCTTGACTGTGAGCACCAGCACTTGGCGTTTGTGGGCGGTCCCAGCTTTGACCTTTGTGTCTTGATGATCGGTTTCACTTTCTCATGTCTAAGATATCCCTGCAGACCGTGCTCTGTGTTTTCGACTGGTGGTTGTGAGATTTTAGAAGGCCTGCTAAAAATGGAGTCTTAGAACTGAACTCATGATTATGTGTGTAAAGATAAACTGTGGAATATGACTTGGGGGGGGGGGGGGATGCTTGTTCATAGGTGTATTTTGAAGGTAGGCGAAGAAATTGTTATTGTCTTTTTGATTTATACTTTTTATGCTTTTAACACAGTCGTTTTTCTATTTCTTTTTTTTTTCTTAGAAAATGTTCACAGGCTTGAAACGGTTTAGCTATTTTTTAGAAACTTTTTTTGTGTTTGTCTTGTATTTTCTCTTGTTTCAGACACATGTTGCTTAGTATTTCTTTTTATACTGTACATCTGCTTGAGAAAATGTGGTCATTGTGGTTCAAACTTTTATCATTTGCACTGAACCTAAAAGCTGACAGGTGTAGTGAATTACAGGATACAGATCTTGGGCCTTCATTTGCTGTGTGGTCCTAATTACTGCCGTGGTTCATTCATCCCTTGCTAATGATCCAGTTAATCCTCTTAGGTTTTGTTAACCAATGAAATTGTAGTATAAAAAAGTGTTAACGGAGTAATTACTGTGGAATCTGCTTAAAGCAAGTTCTGGTGTACAGCGGTATTTTCATCAGTTTATCCAGGTTTTATTTGGTTTAGAGATGTTGCTCAAATAAAAAAACAAATTGTCAGGGATTTTCTTTTCTTTCGGTTCACCGCTGTTTTTGCATGAACTGTGTTCATTTAAAGAGGATTCCACGCTATTTTTAGTGTGATTAAAAAAGAATGAATGAATTTCATTATGCAATATTTTAATAAAGAAAAGCAATAGAAAACTCAGGCTAAGTCACAAGTGTTTTTCTCACAATCAACTTTTATTTCCTGTCTTACAAGTGTTCAATGTGGCCACCACTAGCAACTTGAGCAACATCAATGCGATAAAAGAATTCATCCCAGATGCGTTTATCATATCATGACCCACTGAGTTGATCACTGTTGTTATTCAATGTTTAAGGTCATCTAGTTTAGTGGGTAGGAGTGGAACATAAACGGGATCTTTTACATATCCCCACGGTCCACAAGAAAAAATCACACACGGTGAGGTCTGGGGATCTGGCACAGAGATCAATGTTTTGAGCCCCTTTCCGACCAATCCATCTCTGGGGTACAGCTATTAAAATTTCAAATGGTCATTGACTCATCTCATAACGGTGCTGGGAGCTGAAGCAATGCATCATAAAATCGGTTCCTTCTTTTTTAATCACCTTGTATATCTATTGTTGATGCAATATCAGTGAGCAGGATGGACTTGAGAATGCCTTGCAGGAGAGGTTTATAGTCAATCCTGTTTGGGTTTTTTAGGTATATTTGGGGGGGGGGCTTTCAGTAGCATATATCTATTTTTTTGTTGGTGTATATCTTCTATTGTGGTATGGCTTTTTTGAGTCTATCTTATACGTCCACTGTGTGCACTGTGTGTATTTTGTTTTCTTGTGGGTATGCAAACCAGGCAAAGACAATCATTTGAGATTTGTATCTGCTGAGAAAAAATAGATACATTATGTATACAGTGACAGCTAAAACACTTGAGTGACAAGTAGTGTACTACCACTGGAGTATTTTCATCGTTTTAGGTTACAGAATTCTGTCAGTAAACTAAGATGTAAGTTTTTGCGCAACCTTTTTGCCCAAAAGTTCATATTTTAACTGCTGCTGGTCTAAAGAAAGCGAGAGAGAAACCCACAGAACGGAGCCTATGGGCCCATGGTATCTCAACCACGGGCTGACTCCCATGTTGGTGGGTGCTGTGCTTTATTCTGCAAAGCGTTCCACCTTCGAAGGGTTTCTTGCTCTGCAGCGCCACATACAGTAATTCTTCCAAGTTAGCAACTTTGTATTTATCGCTTTGAAAAAGTCTCAAGGGGAACCATTTTCTGTAAGAAGGTGGTTGAATCATTTTACATTAAGTATAGCCTTGTTGATCTGTCACAGAAGAATTGGGTTATACTCTGGAGGAGTGTGTGTGTTTTCACTGTCAGAGACAATATTTTGTGTCGAAAGAATGTGTGTTTGAAATTTTTAAAATCTAAATAGAAGCTCTGAAAGTTATGCCTCTATGTTAAAACCCTTTGTTTTTCAGTCGTAATAGTTTTATTGGGAAAGGTTGGCCTTTTTCAAGGAGTGTCCTTTTATGGCTCTCTCCCTGAATCGATAACAACATGGATTTTTTTTTTCTCTATGTTTTTATGTCGTTTCCAATTGCTGGGCCCCTTTGTTTTGTATTTCTTTTCTACTGGGAGTTATGTACATCTTTTTTAAGTCATCTCTCTCTCTCTCTCTTTCTCTCTCTCTCTCTCTCTCTCTCTCTCTCTCTCTCTCTCTCTGTCTGTCTGTCTGTCTGTCTGTCTGTCTCTCTCTCTCTCTCTCTCTCTCTCTCTCTCTCTCTCTCTCTCTCTCTCTCTCTCTCACACTTTCTCTCTCTCTCTTTCTCTCTTTTCTCTTTTTCCCTCTGTATTTCTCATACTCACGTCAATGTCAACCAGTATTTCTCTGTCTGTCTTTCACTGATTTTTGTGCTTTGCATGTATCACGGTTGTCAACTCCTATTCTACTTTTTCACCCTTCCTTTCTTTTCTTCTTCCTGTTTTCTTTCTTTTTTTATGAGTACAGAGGTAGGCCTTCCTGTTTTCACTGGAATTGGAGTCTTTTCCATCATCAACAAGAAAAATTTCAGGGCTGTAAAAAAAATTGTTCATAATATTGCTATGCTAAGAGAAAGTGTAGCTACCATCATACGTTGGGTGGTTAGAGGGCGCCTCTGGTAGGATCTACTCCTTTTCTTTCCCCACTGTTCTTTCTGTCTGTCTTCCTTTTTTGCCAGCTCTGAATGAGCGCTATTGTGTTCAATGTGCTTCTAAATAAAAGAGAGGTTTTATTTCTTTACTTTTTGTTACTCAAACTTACACAGTCATATATAATCTGTTACATGTAGATATCAGTCATTACTTATTTCTGTTTGTAATGAGTAGTTGCTTCTTTGGTTGTATTGCCATGTCTAGGCATGATCTTTAATACTTGTTGTTTCTTTTCTTTTCCTTCCCTCTCTCATTGTATGTGATGTCAAAGAAAAAGTAGAAAATTATTTTACAAGTGGGTAACTATTTTGTTTGTTTTCCCCCAATTTTTTACCCCCTCAAAATGGTTCCTTGCATTTTCGGTGCATTTTGGTAGCATCGTTTGCTGGTTGTTGACTTAACGAGAAGCATGTCACTTTTTTACGTGTCCAGTACTACTTTGGTGCACATTGATTACCAAAGGGTATTGAGAAGCTGAATTTGTTCATGCATCTAAAGGTAACAATTGTATTGGCAGTAGAAATTTGTTATACCGTTCTATGTTAATTTTTAGTCAATTCGATCTAACATTTGGCATGGGAAAAGCAGAGCACATGGTTTAGTATCATCAATCAGTAGCTGGATGTTTTAGTATTTGACTATAGGTACTTATGGAAGTTTTACTAACATCTGGTATGGTGTCACTGGTTGAAATTGTTAACTCGGTTTGGGAGTTTTTATTTGTGTGTTTGTAAATCTGTGTGTGTGTGTGTGTGTGTGTGTGTGTGTGTAAGTGTGTGTGTTTGTAAATATGTGTGTTTCAGAGGATGTGGATGTGCGTGTATGCATGCTTGTGTTCCAGTGTACTGTTCATGGTTAGGGTGTGTGATACCTAAGTGAACTCACAAAAGTGGGTGGTTGGTGAGTGCTCTGGTGTAGTTTGCTTCTTCTTTCCTATCACACATCTATCATCTTTATCTCTCCTCCTTCTTTTGTGTGTTTTTTACTCTCTTGTAACACCTCTAATATTCTGCACTTATATGACCTTATAGTGTTGCAAGTGCCGTAAAACACTTACAAAAGCAAAATTCACAAAGTGTTCTTGTTTTGAAGACAAATACTCTCCAGTTCTGTGATATAGTTCGTACAGTGTCTAAAAATCATATAAACTTAGGCTAAAGTGGTTGTAGTGACAAAAGACGCTCCAATAATGGTAATCCCTGAAGTGATCCCTTGTGAAAGTGGTGGTGGGGGGGGGGGGGGGGGGTGGTGGTGGACAGGAGAACAACCTTATATTCAAAGGTAGTGTCTTTCAGAAAGATTTCTGTTAAGTGAACTTCACGAAAGCCATGCTCAACAGATTTTACCAATTTTTGCTTGAAATATTGTTGGTAGGTCCCTCTCTTTTTCTATCTCTTCACTTTTGTTCGTCTGTTGTGCTACTTTTTCTGATCTTCACCACAGTTTTTATGAGCTTCTCTTCTGATATAGCACTTTCTTACTTTAATGTTGTCTCAACAGGTTTTCAAATAAAAATGGTTAGATTATGATACCCATTGGACATCTTTTCTCTTCTTAATTGCTTTTTTTTCATCTCCACTTTTGGCAAAATTTGAACTGTTTTCAGAAGATCTCTGTTCTTACCAAAAAATCAACATGTTTGCATTATGGCAAATCTTAAACTTACTTATTTTCAGGCTGCCTAAGACTTTGAATTCTTTTTGTCAAAGCGGAGATTTTAACTTTGAATAAATAAATCAGTACTTGGATAAGGGTATGTGCTTGAGCTGGCTGGACTGGAGGAGGTGCTGTTTCCATGGAGTGGATCGCATCTTCGTAGCTTTTGAGTGAGCTGCAGAACGTTTTGGTTTGTTGTTGTTGCTAACAGAGTAGCCTTTGAGCGTGTACCCTTGGCTCAATCGTGTAAAAAAAAAGGTGGAGGTCTTCAACGTTGTTCTTAGCTACAGCATAGGATATTGTCTGTGGTAGGAATGAGTGGAAGGAGTTACTGTTGGAGATCCTGTAGTTTGAGACATTCGAAGAGCTGATGTTGGACTGTTTTGTAGACAATGCTTTTGTTTATAAGGATGGTTTGAGAGCTTCAGCCCAGTGAAAAAGAAATGCAAATGAGAACAAAGAAGCTAGAATATATTTTTCCCCTGTTTCGCTAAATTGAAATTTGAAAAGGGGGGGGGGGTGTGATTGTTTTAATCTGTTTGTGAATAGAAATGAAAATAAAGAAGTCAGATTGAATACATTTTTTTCTCCTTTTATTGTACTCAATCAAATCATGGGAGTTGTTACTTGTTTATATATGGATGATGGAAGCAAGGGTTAAAAAAACACTTATCTTTTTTTTATTGCATGAAGAGCATAACCCCAATTGAAATTCAAATGTTTAGATTCTGCTTAACTTAACGTCTTTGCATTGCTCTATTGCATTAATTAAGGTTAACACTTATTAAGTTAATACTTTCTATTTTGTAGAGTGTGGCTGTGTTGTTGGAATATGGAATGTAAGCTTTTGGTTGCTGTTGAATATAAAGATAGCAGAATGGTGTGTGATGTTCTTGGCTTTTCTTAAGGCTAATTATTTAAAGAGCAAAATAGTTAAGAAACTAAAGAGCTACATCTTGACAGAAATGTCTCCCAAGCTAGACTTGTTCTGAAAAGATTCTAAATCAGTACTGTGACATTTTAGTAGACATTCTTCTGTTACAGTCATAATGAACAGCGTAAATGTTATTCATTCAGTCTACTGAAAAAAACCCAGCTTTAGTGACTCAATTTGCTTTCATTGAGATCTCTGTTCTGTTGCCCTGTGTGCTCATGTTTCAAACTGGTACTATTGGAGTAGACAGCTGTTGCCCTAAGGTCATGAAAGCAGCATTCAATTGAGATCAGTGGATTGGAGCGCTACAGAATGATTTGTTCTGGGTTCTGTTCAGACCAACTGTTACCTAAATCTGTGGTTGACACCACCCTGACGTACTGGTGTTGATGACCCTTTAAAGGCCTGTCGTCAAAGTAATATACTTCAGCGTCCTGTGTATAAGTTTTTGTTGCATTTTTATTGTAACATCAACCTGTTCGTCCAATTCCTCAATCCAAATTAAATTTGTTTCATGGAAAATCTAAGTTTAAGTAACAGAGCAAGCAAGGTTTTGATTGATGGGTTGTGTTTAGATATGAAGTCAGCATTGCATTAATTGAGCACAGATATTCTTGAGGTCCAATTATTTGAGATTCCTCTTTTCAGGCCAAGATATAATTTAGTCCCTTGATCTAATTAAGATTCTATAGTAGAGTCATCATTATGTAAAACTCTTGATGCATCGGAAGATACTTAAGTACCGGTATGTCATGCACATTGTGATTTCATACCTGCATGGTCATACGAAAATAATCAACATCTGTCTCTTACAGCCATTGTTTTGAGCTTGCCCTGTGTCTGTGGCACTTCAAGAAAGTGGCTACACTTTTCCTTATCTGTTTTAAATATGAAGCACTAACTCCCTTGTTGCTGTCTTGAGAAATTATTCTGTGAAGAAGCACGTTCTGGCACCCCACACACAGGGAATGCTTGTTTTGCAATACCATCCTGACACTTTGACAGCCCGGCCTGATAGCGGAGACTGCAGCTCGCGCATCTTTCAGTCTAACTCTTGAACTCAAGTTATTTTACATTAAAAGGCCACTTCAAGTCCTTTGATTTGTATAATAATCTAGTAAAACATGAAATTTCACTATAGAGATATTTCTATGTATTTTGAATTTAAAGCGATTAAAAACTGATTTCACCTTTTAAAATTTTGATCATCCATTTTGAAAAGGTTTTGTAAATTGTAAATGGTATCATCTGCTATCTTTGAGTGAAAGATATATTAGCATTTTATATATTTCATAAGAATTTCTTTTAAATTAAGTTATATCAGTGAAACACAAAATAAATATGAAATTTTGAAGGATGTCTTACCTTGTTATAAATTGGCATTTCAAAAATGATAGCCAGCATGCGATAATGCTAGTTCAGATTTTAATGCTTGGCTGTTAGATCTAGGGTTTTGAGTAAAGGTTTAGGGCTTGCCAAGACTATCACAATCTTTAAACAGAGAGAAGTGTTTTAATAGAAATCTGAGAGGTAAACTCATATTGGGTTTCCATTATTGTCATTGATCGTTGTTTCCTTTCAAAGCATCAGTTTGAACAACACACTGGAAATAACACCAGGAGTCCCAGTTCACCTCCACTTCTGCCCTTTTTGTCCCCTTCCAAGTAAAACTTCTGTTAGCATTTTCGTCATGAGCAGCTACTTGGCAGCATATTGCATTTCGAAAAGGAATAACTGTTACCCTATATATACTTTATTATTTTTTTATTTTTAGATCTTTTTGATTTGTATTCTTTGTTTGGTGTCCTCTTGCCCCCCCCCCTCATACTAAAAGATTAGTTTTATGTCAATAAGCGTCTCTAAAAACCTATTTTGCTTTGACTAATTAGAGAGCACCACTGATGAGTTCTGCGACAATCCTATCCTTTTAGAAGACTCTGTGTATTGACTTATGTTTTGCCTGCAAAGGTTCTACGTCTGTCCTCACTTCCCGGGTCCTGACTCCAGTGGTCATTGGGGAGGGTATCAGTCAGTCTTGAAGGATTACAACACGGTACAAGACCCTAGCAAATACATGTATGTGTGATGGTCTGTCGTTATCGCTTCTGCCCTGTCTTTTTTTCTAGGTTCTGGAGCAGGTTCTACTATACACATCTCAATCTTCTACTCTGATAGAAATGGTGTCAGTTCATTTTGTATCTGGACCATTTGGGCTGTCTTTAGTGTGATCAAGTTTTTGTGTGGTTTTATTTCTGTGAATATAATTTCTTTCTTAATCTTTTTTTCTATATATATTGAGAGAAGATAAAAGTAGTATTTCATTTTAGTTTCACTAGCCTGAAATATCACGTTTTTTTAAAACTCCAGTCCATTGTCTTGTTTGTTTGGGTGGGGGGGGGGGGGGGGGGGGGGGGTAGGGGTTATAGCGATATGTGATGATATTTTTGTCTATGCGCCTCTCTCTACAACTCAAATTCATGTCCTTTTTTTTCCCCACTTTACTTGCCCACTTGCGATGTTTGTTGCTGCAACGCTACCCAGACTTGGCGCGGTCCAACTTCCTGTACAACCTGCTCACCTTCATTATCTTGTACAACAACCTGATCCCCATCAGTCTGCAAGTCACACTGGAGATGGTCAAGTTCCTGCAGGCTATTTTTATAAACTGGGTGAGTGGGTGGTTGGTGGGTGCTTTGGTGTTGTTGGCTCCTTCTTTCCTATCCAACGTCTATGATCTTTATGTATCCTCCTTTTTTTCTTTGTATGTTACTCTTTAATAACACTCTCATCTTTGGCTCTTGTGTGACCTATTTATGTTGAAAGTGTCGTAAAACTCTTACTAAAACAAACAAGTTGGGTGAGTTGTTAGACTAGAAAGAGGGAGGGGGGGTGAAACGGTGACTTGGGGGAAAGATGATGGGGATGGAGGGGTGATGGAAAAAGAAAGAAAGATTTAGAGAGGAAATGAGAGAGAAAATGAGACAATTTGCAGAATAGAAAAAGACAAAAGATTGGGAAGGTAAACGCTGTTGAAAGAAAAAGAGGATAGAAAATATTTACAGAGAGAAATGGCGAGCAGAGTGTGGGGAAGAGAGGACATAATATACTGATTGAAAGAAAGAGAATTGAGAGTTGGAACTGGTGGCTGGAAATCTATTTGAGTTTTTTTAAAAGGGAGATTCAAAGAGCATGTTGGGAAGATTGGTATGGTGGTATTGGTTGAAGGTAAAGGTTTTCAACATTGTAAGATGATTACAAAGCAAGACTTCTGGTGCGATGTCAATCTTTAGGCTTGACTCAGTTGGTGGAGTGTCATGAAATCTCGCCAAAGTTCAAGAATTCCAGTTTAGGGATTGAATTCAAGGTTGTCCTCCTTCTAGTCCAGCATATTACCAATGTAGTTTCGGGTGCACCCGAATGAGCAAGAGGATAAAAGAAAAGACTTGATTTCTGTGAATTTCAAGAAAGACCTTATCTATGGTGTTTTGATAACTTCATAAATAGCTATGAAAGTAATATAGTTTTGTCCTTTTCTCCTCAATTGTTTTTTAAATGAAAAATCATTTTCTTGTGTGTGATTCCTCTCTCAGGATAAGGATATGTACTATGAGCCCACAAAGACCAATGCCAACGCCCGGACGTCTAACCTTAATGAAGAGTTGGGACAGGTATGTGGGTAGGCTCTACTTTTACGTGACGAATGTGAAGTTGATTTCCTGTCTGTTACCTGTGAATGATTTTTCTCAGTGCACACTGTAGATGAGGCATAGACCTGGATTTTAAATTGAAACATTTAGTTCAAATGTTGTTATGGAAATGATAACAGGCAGAGATTGATAAGGTACCTACAGACTACTCCACAGTTTCTAACCTTTTTGATGTGTGTTAAGATATCCTGAAGACATTATCTAAATTATGTTACAGATGACATTCACATAAATTGATAATGGTGATAACAATAGTCATGATAGGAAGAAAGATGACATTGGATGAGATACATTCCTGACAAAAGATATAAGCTTATATCGGATGAGAAAGTCACAGAAGAAGGATATAGTAGAAAGTGTCTAAGACGGACACCCATTGTGGAGGAGAAAAGTTGTTGCCTTAGACATGTGGACATCTGGACAGTGTCATTATAATGTTTTAAAAAGCAAATGGGAAACGGGAAGCGGTTGTTTGTACAGGGGATTATCATCTTGAACAGGTGGTCGTTAAAGCAGGTTCGACTGTATTGTTAGGTACATTCCTGATGAAAAATGTACATTGCAGGAGAAAGTCACAAAAGAAGATTATTCAGATTGGTAGTCCTGAATAGTTATATCTATTCACGTATTCCTTATATAAGTTATACAAGTAAGATCTGGTCTATGCTTGTTTGTTTTTTTGTTTTTTTGCTGTGACAAGGGTGATTGCAAGCTTGACCCATGCAGATGGTAGAAGTTTTGTGCTGGATAGAATCTCTGTCTTTATTTGTTCTTCGCTACAGTTGAACCTGCTCTAATTGCAATTTGTCCAAGATGCACACCTGTACAAACAACTACTTTCCACTTCCCCCTCGCAGTTTTTCTGTATTATAATGACACTGTCCGAGACATACGCCTGTCTAAGATAGTCACTTTTATCATCAGCACTGGATGGCCATCTTGGAAAATTTCAACTGTACTTCATGTTTGAAATAACATTCAAAATATCGCAATCTCAGTGCATTCTTGTCGTAGCTCCATTTTTTTAACAGTGAAAATGTGACATCTTCTAAAGTTCAGTCTCTGTTATGAGCTGTTTTTGCTGTTATTAAAAATGGAGATACGACTAGAAAGCACTGAGGTTGCGATATGGTAACTTTTTAAGGTAGCTTATGAATCACGTGAAATTATCCCTATGAACCTAGGCACATGTTTGAGAGTGAGTTACATTCACCCATCTGTGTACTAAACGCATGTCTCTCTTCCGTGAAGTAGTGTACTTCAAGCAGTTGATTCAAGAGAGCTAGCTTGCATCAGTCCAGTAGGTTCAGGGGACATGGATTGAAAAGGTAAAATTTATTGTAGCATTGTACTTTCATATTTGACTACTTTAATCAATTTTTGTGATGAGATGTGGCTTACTGAAAGCTGTCTTCTATTACATATATCCCTGGATGTTTTCATGCTCATCTTGACTGCAATTCTGTCCGTGTCTTTCTCAGATCAAGTTCCTCTTCTCAGACAAGACCGGTACGCTGACTCAGAATATCATGAGGTTCAGCAAGTGTTCTATCGCAGGCATTGTGTATGGGTAAGTGCTCTGTCCCATGCGTTGTGTAAGACCCTTTGTCATAGGCTCTATACACTTGCCCTATCACAGGCATCATGAATGAGAGTGGATTGTCTGTCAAGGGTATTGCATGTATGTAACTGCTTGGTTGCAGGCAGTGTGTACAACTGGCATGGCCCACGAGCAGATTCTGTCTGACCCGTGACCTGGTAATAAGATTGTAGTAATGAATGAAGCAATGAAGCTCACAGTGACTGATTTATTGATAAAAGCAGCAAAGCTCTGTCTTAATAATTATAACCAATAGTTTCTAGCTGAGCTGGAAGCAATATATCTAATATTTGATCTCAAGTCTCCAAGTGGATGGCTGCATTAAGCTATTTCGAATAACTCATGGGCCAAAACAGAGAAAATTGGGGGAAATAGATTTAAATACTCAACCTCTCAAAAGTGATACAAAAACTGACACTATAGCTTATATCACTCAAGAGTGTTTCGTGAGATAAAATATCAGATATTTTGCTTCCTGCTTGGTTGGAAACTGTTGATTGTAATTTTTAAGACGGACATTTCTGTTTTTATTAATCATCAACTCACAGGGAGCCACTTTCATGATTACTGACTATTGGATCGACTCACGGGCCAGACTGAAACTGCTCTCAAGCTGTCTCTAGCCTCTAGGCCATAGTTTGCCTTTACCTGCCACAGATGCTGTTGCTGTTTGTTTCACTTTGTAGTGATGAGGCTTTTGGGTGCTCATAATCAAAAGGTCATGAGTTCAAACCCCACCAGGGGCCTGACATTGTGTTCTCTGTACACAAATTTTCCTCACTTCGCCCAGGTGGGAGTAGGGGCCTTGCAATAGACAGCAAAAAAAAAAATAGTCAGTATGTTTGTGTTTTGCTGCTTATAAAATGGCAGCTTGTACTGTATGCTTCCCAGGAAGTTGAGATTGTTTTTGTAGAGCTCTAGGATCTGCTGGGATAATGATAAGAAGAATCATAGCTTGTTTCTGAATGGAACAGAGCACTATTAAAATGCTATTTATTATTGCTATAGTCTTCATACTACAGCTGATCTTGATTCAAATTTTCTGTGAGGCTTCATTGATGTTTGGGTTGTTCTGGAAGTTTTTTGAGACTCTTCGCATACTTGCCACGCTCCTATCACAGACGGATACTAAATTATGTCACTGGATATCTGCCCTGGTGATAGTGGCTCTGGGGGTACTAGTACTAAAACATACACAAGTTATTGAACCAAATTTTGTTTGTAATTTGACTTGTTTTCAAAATTTTCATGGGTTTTTTCCCCTCTTTTTTTCAGAGATAATGAGGACGGCAACGACGCTTTTGATGGCAAGAGTGTTGTTGATAATATTGTAGCAAACCATGTGAGTTTATGTATCTACTTGTCCTGTTTATATAAATGAAAGGAAAATCCGTTTAACGTATGATATAATGAAACTAGGTGAAGCTGCAATCAACATTCAAAATGTGCAATCTATGTGTGCACAGTTGGTGTATTATTCTAGAGTCTTTCTGGGGGAAAAAAAGCTTAACAAAGTGTAATAGAACTAAAAGTGAAAAAAAATTTCAGAATGCCCCCCTTTCTTTTGTTCCTCTTATTAAATCCATACTAGCTGGGTACCCCATTCGATGAACTGTCTCAAAAGAATAGATGCTCAAGTCATTTTGGGTTAAGTGCGCACTGCATGTGGATGGAAGTATCACTTGTTTACAATGGCATCTAAACGAAACTAATGGAAAACTGAAAATTAAACTACTCTGACTGCAGACTCCTTTATATGATTCTGAACTGCTGTTAATTTTTTTCAAATTCATAGGTTAAGTGGTTCGGAAGTTTAAGGCGACCAAAGTGACGAACATTCACAAATATAATATAGATATTTTGCTGCTACAGGCTGTCATTACAGTCCTCTGCTCTTCAGTTACAGCCCTTTGTGTTTCATTTCTTTTCATACTGTTGATATCATATCACACCACACCACATACCAGTTACCATACCCCATGCCATGCCATGCCATACTCTCTCAAATGACTGTTATTGTGTTCATTTTACTCACACTCTCTCATGGTCTTGGTTGGAGGTCCTACTTCTTTACTGTTCCTCTGTTGTTTCTGTCCGTCTTACTTTTCCCTGCTCTAAATAAACATGATATTGTTGATATGCTTCTCTTTACACAAACTCATGGTGTGGGTGGTTGGCGGGTGGTCTGGTATGGTTAGCTCCTTCTTTCCTACCAAACATCAATCGTCCTTATCTTTCCTCCTTTTTTGTGTATGTCACTCTTTTGTAGCACATCTGTTCTTCTGCGCTTAAATAACCTTATTGTGTTGCAAACGCCGTAAAACTCTTACTAAAACTAAAGCTAAAACTTTCCCTGTGTTGTTTCTATCTGTCTTACTTTCCCCTGCACTAAATGATTATGGTTATCTCCATAGGCTTCTCTTTACTGTAACAAACATACTCATGGTGTTTCTGCTCTGTGGGTGGTTGGCGGATGCCCTGGTGTGGTTTGCTCCTTCTTTCCTAACTATCGTCCTTATGTCTCCTTTTTTGTGTATGTTACTCTCTCTCTTGTAACACATCTGTCCTTCAGCACTTATATGACCTTACTGTGTTGCAAGTGCCGTAAAACTCTTACTAAAACTAAAACTCTCTCTGTCCTTCGGCACTTATATGACCTTATTGTGTTGCCTGTGCTGTAAAACTCTTACTAAAACTAAAAGTGTCTGCTTTGTTCCTCACAGGAAACCGAACCAGTGATCTCAGAATTTGTCAAGCTGCTGGCGGTGTGTCACACGGTGGTTCCCCAGGTCAACCAGACCACCAACGAGATACACTACCTCGCCTCCTCTCCAGGTGGGTCTTTCTTTGCTCTGCTCCCTTTTCAAGACAGTGGAGTGTGCTTGGAAGACTGTCCCTCTTTTTTTTTTTTGTGTTTGTTTTTAGGAAAACTTCTAAGGCTCTTGCAACACAATATATGTCTTATAAGTGCCGATGATTAGAGGTGTTACATGAGAGTGACCTACAAAGAAAGAAAGAGGAGAGTAAGAACGATAGATGTTTTTAGTTTAAGTAAAAATTTTATTGCACTTTCAACAGGAATAGGCCTATTAAGTGCTGAAGATTAGAGGGTGTTACTCAGATAAAGAGCATTTGTATAGGGCAAAGTCCCACTCAGCAGCAAGTTCTATGAGCTTCAGAATCTATATTTCTAAGTGACAGATTCAAAAATAGATTTAAACCCATTGTAGTCCAGTGTTTTGCAAACTGATCTTCTGTTGCGCTCTTGGGAAGACAACATAGTTGCATCATGAGTGTGACTTGCCAGCTGAGCTGGCGTGTGTGTAGGATAACAATAGTGTACACCTTATTAGCTGTGCACCACATTCTGAATGAAATCATGTTTTGTTTGATTTGTTTTCAGGGTTTTTTGGTGGGTTTTATTTAATTACTTTTTTTTCTTAATTTAGGAGGGGGGGGGGGATGAAAAGGAGAGATTAACTGACTTTTTAAAAATCATTACCTCCGACCTTTGATGCAAAAATTCTGAGATGGATCCGCTTAGAACATGAACTGTCCTATGTCTCCCTTCACAGATGAGGCAGCTCTGGTGAAGGCAGCCAAGGAGATGAAGCATGTATTCACGACAAGAACACCAGACTCTGTTATAGTGGATGTGGTAAGATCTTTTGAGCATAATCTGTGTTTCACCGCCCCCCCCCCCCCCTCTCTCTCTCTCTCTCTCTCTCTCTCTCTCTCTCTCTCTCTCTCTCTCTCTCTCTCTCTCTCTCTCTCTCTCTCCCTCCCTCCCTCCCTCCCTCCCTCCCTCCCTCTCTCTCTCTCTCTCTCTCTCTCTCTCTCTCTCTCTCTCTCTCTCTCTCTCTCTCTCTCTCTCTCTCTCTCTCTCTCAAAAAAAAGCATCCAACCCACATCATGCAATTTCCATCCCCCTCTGTCTCTCTGTCTATCTGTCTTTCTTTTTGTTTCCCTCTCATACCTCCTCTGTCTCCGTCTCCCACTCTTTTGAAGTGAAGATGAGAGAAATGAAGAGGGATATAGTGGGGGGTTTAAGCCTTTGAGGATGTTTTGAGCAGCAGTTTTGTTTGTTGTTGTTAATCCAGTAGCCTTTGAGGGTGTGCCCTTCAGCTCAGTTCCGTGTTTAAAAAAATGAAGGTCTTTGACTTCTGCTCTTTGCTGCAGTATAGGGTATTGTCTGTCTGTGGTAGATAGTATTGATAGGGGCGGGGCGTTAAACCCATACCCTTTCATCATTGGTCTGTTGTGGGGATGGTGGGGAAAAAGTTGCCGTCAGAGTAGTTTTCGAAAGAAAAGGAACAGCCTGCTCTTCAACACACCGCAATGTCACAGAGAGAAGTTTGGGGGTGTACTTTCTCAGGTAGCTTGTATATGTATGGATAGGTGTGGAACTAGCAGGGGTCCCTGAACCTGGTCTCAAGAGTTCTCCGTGCAGAATGTTCATCTTTTGATTCATTTCACAGGCTTCTTCTTCCTCAATGCACGTTTTATGTCATATGTAACAGGTCGAAGGGCTAGAACCCAGATGGCTGCTGATCAGAAAAGTATGTCATATCTTCATATGTGCCATTCATGAATGATTTATCGTGTTAGTTAAAAGTATGTACTGTCTGAAATATTTTTTAATGACTCTGATCTCTTGACTGAGATTTTTTTTTCTTTTTTTTTTCATTTCAGATGGGGAAGCCAGAGAAATTCCAGGTGCTAAATGTGTTGGAATTCACCAGGTAATTTGTCACTTTTGTCTTGTCACAGCTTTAAGTTATGAGCCCTTTTGAGTGATACCATACTAACATTCTGCAAGTACCATTGTAAGGACAAATATGTGCAAGTGGTTGGGGGTGCTATTGGTAGGTCTTCTTTATTATCCCTGTTATTTCTGTCTGTCTGTCTACCTTTTTCTCAGCTCTAAATGATTGCCATTATGTTGATGATGTGCTTTTCTTGAACTCAAACTTAAGTTACAAATTCTGGGCGGAGGTAGTCTTATAATCGGTTTTTCTACGCCTGGACAGTTAAATAATGTATGTGTTTATTAGTACAGCTTCAAATTGAGCAGAGGCAGGGCATTTGATCTTACCTGATTTTAAAATCTCACTCTTTGTGCTAGTTAAAAGTTAGCATGATTGAGTGGTAGTCTGTGAAGACCCTGAGTTCAGCTATGAATTCAACTTCTCAATCAAGCTTTTTATCCTTGTCTCATATTTTGAGAAATCAATTTCTATCTCTTATTTCTGATGTTTTTAGTATGACTTACGTCTTGGTGAAATGGCCTCTGACTCCAAGTTGATTGGCATGATTTTAAAAAAATTAAATTGTATGTTGAATATGGTTTTCTTTTCTCTTTCTTTCAGCAAAAGGAAAAGAATGTCTGTTGTAGTGAAGACAGAAGATGGCAAAATCAAACTGTATTGCAAGGGAGCTGTAAGTACTGAGTCAAATGATCACACATTTGTGACTAAGATAACCCTAACAGACCCAGTTGTGTACATCTCCCTCATAGTGTTCTCTTTCCCCTAGGCTCAGTTGCGTATAATTCCCTCACACGGTGCCAACCACCTCAAACCCAAACCCATATTTTTACTGTTATCGATCCTATTTTTAAAAAAAAAATATATCCTTCAAGATATCTTTAATTATGTATTTATATATGTTGCCATCGTTACCCAAATTTTCCCCGCAGGGATTAATAAAGTGTAATTTATTTATTTGATTAAAAAAAAAAAAAGGCATGAACTAACTTATAAATGAATTCATATCTCTTCTATTCCCCTTACCTGTATCTAGGACAATGTTATCTACGAGCGTCTGGGTGACAACAAGAAGTACACAGACGAGACCCTGGAACATCTGGAGCAGTTTGCTGCCATAGGTGGGTGCCCCGTCACAGAATTGAAGGCTATGTGAATGTGTGTGTGTGTGCGCGCGCGCAAGTGTGTGTGTGTGTGTGTATATGTGTGAGTTTATGTGCTACTGTGGGTGTATGTGTTTGTATGCTTGTGTGTGTTTGTATGTGTGACTATGCATGTGTTGACATATGTGTATAGACGAATGAGAATAAATTGTTAAAGGCTAAAAGTTTTAGGGTACTGTTTGGAGGTATGCCTTCTTTACCTTCCCCCTATGGTTTCTGTCTGTATGTTTTGCTTTTTACATGCACTTCGTAAATGCTGTTGTGTTGATGAGCTCAACATATTTGTTTTGTGTCTGCCTCTTATCCTAGAGTAGGCAGGAGGATGTGGTATACTTTATTTGTATTTGCTTGAAACATTCAGGTTTGCGAACACTGTGTATTGCGATGGTGGAGATAGAGCCAGAGGTCTATGAAGACTGGGCAAACACATTCTACAAAGCTAGCACAGCCATACAGAACAGGGAGCAGAAGCTGGAGGAGGCAGCTGAGCTGATCGAGAGGGTAGGTGTTTACATTAGTGTGTTATTTCGTTTGCCCGTAACTGCTTATGATCAGCGTCTGTGGTGTAGCAGTTAGGCACTTTGCTGTCACTCACAAAAGATATGAGTTTGATTCCCGAAAGGGGAGAATTTTTATCCAGTATCTCGTTCTTTCTGCTGGGATGTTGCACGCCAGAAACCCGAATTCAAATTCCCTGTGGAGACAATTTGTAGTGAGCATCACAGTCGTTCTTTGGGATGTGTATCCCTCTCACCCTGGATTGGCTCCCACAGTCAGAGTTGAAGCCCGCCTCATAAATAATCTAAATTGTGTTGATGGAACCGTAAAAACATCTACTTCTTAAAAATTAAAATCTTTGTTAAATTTGTTTCTAATGTTATTTATCTCTTGATCCCCAGAATCTGGTACTTTTGGGCGCTACAGCCATTGAGGATAAACTACAAGACGTAAGTATATGCTGGAGATGTGAGTGTGACCAAGCTCACTGTTTCAGACTTGACACAGTCAAACCTGCACTGCCGGTCACCTATTTAAGACAATCACCTGTACAAACATCTACTCCCCACTTTTCCCCTTGCATTTCATCTATATTATAATAGCACTTTCCAAGACATTCACTGAGAACCTCATTTTTTAATTTAATTTTTTTTGTGATCCACATATTCCCATATATCATTTCTTGTGATTAGCAGCCACAGTGATTGTCTTTTTATACATGTGTTCTTATGTCAGATTAGGGACACATCATATTTGAAAGGAACGTTGTTCATTGAATAGGTTGGTATGCATGAACCCTTTCATTGTGTTAGCTGTCAAAATCTTTTTAAAATTCTGTTGTGAAGGGCCTAGAGCCGCCAGGGAGTGGACGCTATAGAAGTGATCTTTATTGTTATCTTTATTATTCTCCTATGTTGCCGTGTGTCTTCTTTACTTTCTCTCTGTTGTTTCTGTCTATCTGTCTTACTTTCCCCATTACTAACTGACCATTATTGTGTGGATGTGCTTCTTTTTACTCAAACAAAACAAAAACGTGTGCTGCAGGGTGTTCCTGAGACCATTGACACGCTGGCCAAAGCTGACATCAAGATCTGGGTCCTCACTGGGGACAAACAGGAGACAGCCATAAACATTGGTCAGTCTTTACTCTAACAACTTATGTGCATGCTGAAATGTAACCAGATGTATCATTTTCTTGTTTGTTGTGTACCAGCCACTGGCACATCTGACTGAGACATCCATTGTGGATATTTCCAGAATGTTCGAAGGAAATGTGGTATTAAGGCTTTTTTTTTTTCAATGATGTATAATTTCTTGTTTGTAAGTCGTCTATTCTACAAACACAACTGATCTTGATTTTTGTTGTAAATTAAAATATTATTTATGAAAGCTTCTTTCGAGAACGTTGGAAGGATTTGGGTTGTGTTTCTGTTCTTGCGGAAGTCTTTATGGAAATCTTACTTGACCTGGAGGCATCCATAAGAGATAAAGTTTATATTCCTTTTGTTGCTTCTTTTTTCATGTATGTCCCCAGTATCTCAGCTATTTACTCCATTGTGCTGCAGTCTGGTGTAGTGGTTAGGCACTTTTCAGTCACAAGTAGAAGACCCAACTTCAATTCCAATGTGGGGAGATCTTTTATTATCTGTCTTTTTGCTGGGACGTTGTATCCCTCTCAGCCCGGGTTAGCCCTGACAGGCCGAGTCGAAGCCAATCTCCAAAACAGAGTAAATTGTATCAGTGGGAGTGTAAAAACATACACATGTGTAAAAAATGTTAACATGATTGTGTTTACTGATTGGAATGAGAACTAACTTTCCTTTTCTTGACCTCCCATCTCAACAGGATATTCCTGCAAACTTCTGAACCAAGGCATGGACTTGATTGTAGTAAATGAAGAATCTCTTGATGTAAGTTATATACACATTAAAGCTTCTGCTTAGATTTTGTGTTACCTTCAAAAGACGTTACTATGTTGGAAAAGTTACTGTTAAAAGTTACCAGAAATGCATTATCAGAACTGTCTATACAGTGTCTGTGTATAGTAGAGCATTAAAATCTTGTTAAAAAAACAACATAACGTTAAATGTTTTATTTTCCTTATATTTTATTTTCTATAACCAATGAGCCATGGGTCCCCTTTATAAATGGTATTTTTGTGTCCATGAGAATATTGCTTTCTCTCAAAAAAATAAATGAACTAAGTTGCTTAAGTTGTTTTGTTTTGGGGGTTTTTCCTTATTGTAGTCTTTATTTTGATCCTTTCTGTTTTCATCTGTCTCAGGCTACTCGAGATGCTTTGGTCCGGCACAAGGCGGAGTTTGGAGAATTACTGGGGAAAGAGAACCTTGTTGGCTTCATCATTGATGGACAGGTAACCATGCTGCAGGGTCTGGGTATTCCTTGCAAACCATAACTTTGCAGACTGTTTAATTGTGCTAAGCCCATAAAGCAACATTTTTCAGGATATAATAGAAAACAAACTGTTTCATTCTTTAATTGCACCTACTTTATGTATCTTTTATTGCTTTTTTCAACATTTAGAATTTGAATTTTGAGAAAATATTTCTTGAGTGCATGCAACTGACTACTGTTACCACAGATTGAGAAAATGTTATAAAATGAAATGTCTAAATTTTGGGTTTATTGCTGCACCTAAAAAGCTGGCTAACAGTAATTGTTTTACACCCCATTTGTTATAATCTGAGCATTTGCTTTGCCCTGGTTGCTTTGGCCCTGCCTGTCAGGACAAACCACGGAAGCATGTTCAAAGTAGAGATGAAAATACTCGATAGAAAAAATTTTCTCTCTCACTCAGGAATAGAATTCAGGTATTCTGTGTGCAATGGCAAAGAGCCTAACGGCTACACCACAGACACAAAAACCGGTATTGAGTGATATAATCCATGGAAGTGCTCTCATGTGTGTTATCATGCTTTTTCCTCATTAATTTATTAGCAACATCGTGTAACTGATGTCATATTTTGTCTGTGGTTCTCCCCATTTTGATGTCAAATTGGCTGTCAGGTAAAAATAATTTGCAACTTCTCTCCTGGTGTCAGTCATGTGCCATTGCCTATCTGGCAGGGGGGTTGGTAACTTCTATGTGCTGTTTATCTCATCCCATCTGTCACTTTTTATGTGGATCAGTTATGATAGGTTTAATCTAGTAAAAAGTAGTGAAACCCCAGAGTTCTGACAGCGTTTGAAATCACCTTTTTGTGTTTGGTGGAGACTGAGACTTGTACAAATAAAGAATTGGCTTTTTTATGCCTGAGTAGCGCTCACTGGGTGTTGCTGATATTGAGCTTGTCGGTGGTTGGTGGGTGCCCTGGTATGGTTTGCTCCATCTATACTATCAAACTTTTATTGTCCTTATCTCTCCTTCTTTTTTTATGTTACTGTCTTGTAGCACCTCTAAACCTCGACACTTCTTTGAACTAAATATGTTGTAAATGCCGTTACTAAAACAAAAAACTGATTTTAAACTTATGTGAATACCGAAGAAAACTGCACCTCCCCTGACTTTCAATTGCGACAGAGGATGAAAAAGTAAGAAGACAAAAGCTTTAATAAAATGAATGCCACTTAAAACTTTAAAGTGCTGTCTGAAGTTGCGAACAACCTTTAGAAGTACATTTCTCATACCTGTTTTCTTACATCATTTTTCTTTCCTCAGAGTTTGAAATATGCCCTGAGCTGTGACTGCCGACAAGACTTTCTAGACATTGCGCTCAGCTGCAGGGCTGTTATATGCTGCAGGTGAGTACAGATATTTTAAATTATCCCTACTTTTCTTATATTTTTCTACGTACTTGACTACATCTTGTTGGTTTTTTGGCTAAAAACATTAGCTCTTCTCATGCTAAAAACTCAAAGGAGACTCAAATACAATCGAACTTGCTCTAACGGCCTCCTGTTCAAGACAATTACCTGTACAAACAATCACTTTCTATTTCCGCATTGCATTTTTAGCAACACATTCATGCTCATTAGTCTCAATTAAATGGGTTAGTGCTTTTTTAAATGAATTTGTAACTTATTTTTATAAGTGTCCAGTTGTCTTTGTATGCAGTTTCCTCTTTATTTTATGCCTATTTAGAGTTATTACTGCTTTGTTCATATTAATTTGTTCTCTCTATCAGGGTGTCGCCTCTGCAAAAGGCGGAGCTGGTAGAGCTGGTAAAGAACTCGCAGAAGGCCATTACCCTGGCCATTGGGGACGGGGCCAATGACGTGGGCATGATACAGGTGAGGACTCTGCATCTCTTCACCTGCTCTTTCAACATTAATTCTTTTACTTGGAAGAGAAGAGACGAGCACCTGACAGACCCAGTTGTAGAGCAGCAGTCACAGAAAGCAGGAAGTCAAATGAGTTTTCACGAATTACAAATGCTGAAGCCAAGATAGAATCCCGCAGGCTCCGTGTACCCTCAATGGCAAATGAAGCTTTTAAATGCTCCAAATGTGGCAAACTCTTCTCTGCCAGAATTGGTCTCATTGGTCTTAGCAGAAGCCACAAGTCATCTTAATCCTTATTTCTTCTTTATTGTGTAAGAAACATTCTCCTCTGCAGATGCACTGTTCATCGTCAGACATAGACTGACTAACTTATTATTATTACATGTATTATTGTTCTTACTCTTATTCTTATTTTTCTTATTATTATTATTAAGTATCAACTGCTCTTATTTCAAATGACTGCAGGTCTTATCTCACTATTTGTCTAGTGTTTTACTGTTACTTACAAAGACAGGAATTTTCTCCCTATTCTCAAGTATGGGAAAGCAAAGACCACAAGTAGCTTTATGCATACTTAGTCCAGTCCATTTCTGTATACAAACTGAGCTATTTTTTTTATCATGGCCCGTTTTACTCATGTTTGTTGGTGGTTGGTGGATACTCTGGTGTGTTTTGCTCCTTCTTTCCTGTCAAACGTCTATTGTCCTTATCTCTCCTCCTTCTTATATTTGTATGTTGCTCTCAAGTGACACCTCTAATCTTCGACTCCTATATATGACTTTATTGTGTTGCAAGTGGCGTAAAGTAAAGCTCATGATTGCTCATTTGTTCTTCTCCAGGCGGCTCACGTGGGCGTGGGGATTAGTGGTGAAGAAGGCATGCAGGCTGCCTGTGCCTCAGACTACTCTATAGCTCAGGTGAGGTGGAGTGTGCACTTAAGGATGCCATTTCTCAGTTTTCTTTAAGCGTTTTGTCTTTTCTTTCTTTCTTTCTTTCTTTTTCTTTTTTCTTTTTCTTTTTTCTTTTTCCTTTTTTTTTTCCAACTGAAATTAATTTTTGAAAATAGTTATTCTCAGCTTTTTTTTTTCTCTGTTTGATCCTGTTTGAGTTACTTGAATGTAGAACTGGGGTCTTTGGAAGACAGGGTGCTCCATGCTTCCTCACCCCTCTTCATGAGGGTGCATTTCAGTGTGGGCAGGCTGATTGTCTCCATCATCAGCTAATGATCCTGTATGAGCTGTCTATTGACTGTCATTTTGTGTACAAACACAAATTTTGTAGATTTTTTCTGTTATTTTCTCAAAATCCCAGTGATATCCTTGTGATCCTTTCGTTTGGCCTTTTGTTGTAACATTTTAGTTAGGCCTGTCTGTGGGTGGTTGGCGAATGCTCTGATGTGGTCCTCTTCTTTTGCCTCTTTTCCAATGTTATTCTTTCCCTGATCTGTTCTGCCTTTCTGCACCATGTAGCTGTTGGTGAGTGGGCCTGTCGTTGACTACAGTATTCTCTCACTTCCACTCACAGACCACCCTGAAAAACATTGCTTGAATACAATTGTGTCAAATTAGTAACCGTGTTTCTTGTCTACTCTGTAATGTTATACTTTTAATTTAGATAGTGGGTGTGGTGGGTGCTCTGATTTGGTTTGTTCCTTCTTTCCTATCAAACATCTATCGTCCTTATTTCTCCCTTTTTAGTGTTTGTTTTTCTTTTATAACATCTACCCCCCAGGGCACTGCCACTGACTGTAGTGTCTTTGGGCCATTCACAAAGGGGGGGACATTTCTCGTTCAAGCATAGTAGAATTGTAAATGGGCTGACTCATGTCACGCTCATAACTGTGCCTGATCTGCTGCTTTTTCTTTCCTGATCCTTACTATTGTCGATTTCCTCTACTTCTTTTGTATGTTTGTCACTCTCTTGTGACCTGCTATTTTGGGGTGCCTTGATAGTCAAAGCAGACCTTGTGCTGTTGAAGCTAGAGAGGTGAACGTCTAAGTCTGATTCCCTGTAAAGACTTCTCTGTTGACATCCACCCCTTGGCGCTCATATGACCTTATGCAGTTGCGAGCGCTGTAAAACCCTCTACTATAAAAAATAAAAAATTTTTTTATAACATTTCTAATCCTCGGCACTTATATGACCTAATTGTTTTGCACATGTCGGAAAACTCTAAATTAAACTTTAGTTTAGATTGGCTATAAGTTTAAACGGTCATCTTGACTTGTTGGGAAAAAATCCTTCACAGTTCATATCCTGTCCCCATAAAGTTGGCAAAGAACAGTCAGTGTTTTTTGTTTGTTTAGTTGGTTGGTTTGTTTTGGGTTTTTTGTTTGGGGGGGGGGGGGAGTTATTCCCCTGAGGACTGTATTGATATACTTCTTTTTAACTTTGAATTTAGCCTGAATTTTTTGTCCTTTCACTGATGATAAAGGCTTCACTTGAAGGGTCTGCTTTTTATGTTTGTTATTGCCGTTGTCTTGACCTGTGGCTAGTGAATTTAGTTGCTACCATAGCGGCCTGCTGTGGACTACAACTCGTCAACTTTTTTGTCCTTTCAGTTTCGCTACTTACAAAAGCTGCTGCTGGTACATGGTGCCTGGAGCTACAGCCGTGTCTGCAAGCTCATTCTGTACAGTTTCTACAAGAACATTTGTCTATACCTCATTCAGGTGAGAGAAAACCATCTTTTTTTTTTCTCTCTTGATTTTTTATTTAAAATGAAATAATGGTTAAAAAAAAAAAAGAACACATGGGTTGATTCAGATAAAAGATTCAAAATGCCTTTATTTCTGTTTCTGAGAAGTACATCATGAAATTTTCGGTAGTTTCAATTAAAACCAAGGAAAAAATGAAACCATTTTAATTTGGGCCTCTTCTGCTCTTTGGTAAGTCAGTTCTAATTATGATTTGAAAACTATGGTAAAAAGATTTAAGTAAAAATTTTCAGAATGAGATCTCTGAAATCAAGTCAATATATAATTTTCACGGCATACTGTGTTTGATTTGTTAAAGATCTAAAACAATTTTTTTTAATGAAACTAAAAACTTACAGCATTGTTAAAGTATGATTGCTGTGTATGTGTTTTTGATTTTGGGTTTTGCACTTTGCCAATTAATCCTTACAGTCATTGGTTTTTTTCCCAGTGTCAGCTGATGCCCTCATGCATTGTTTTATTTCTTTTTTTTTCTATGTCCTATATGATCTAGGCTATCGCAATTTATGTGCCTTTCAATTTAAGATCTTGTTCTTCAGTTTGTAAGGAAAACTGACAGTGACTGTTGTGTGACCGATTAGAGATCTTTTGAGTCATTTTCTCTCATCCTTATTTTTTTGTATGTTTCAGGTGATATGTTGAGATATGTCGATTGACCCGACCATGACTCATATGTGCAATTTTAACAACCTGACCGTTTCTATTGCTGTTTCAGTTTTGGTTTACAGTAGAAAATGGATTTTCAGGCCAAGCCCTGTTTGAGAAGTGGACTCTGGGATTGTACAATGTGGTATGTGGCTCGGCGCCTCAGCTGAGCCCATACTCAGTCTCTGTGTTGTGCTTAGACATTTCCTTCCTCAGTGTTCTCAGCTCTTATATTTTTGAACTTATCATGTGGGTGTTTTTTTGTCTCACAGATATAGTACAGTTTTTTCTTCAGTTTTCATTTTTAGAATTCATCGGTGTCATCAAATCCTTGTGCTCGTGCAACCCTAGACAGATGTGTTTTTTTTTCCCTATTTTTTTTCTTTTTGTTATCTGATTTTTTAAACCCATATTTCACTCATTTATTAAGTGGTCTCAAGTCTTCTTTGTCTTATCTTCCAACTTAGAAAACTGTAGACAGTAGTTAATGCTTAGATGATGCGGGTTATTTTTTGGTGTACTTTGTCACTTTGTCAAATCTCATGTTTGCACTCTGTGCCATAGAGCATCGGAAGCATGATCAGTTTCTAGCCCAGAGTAGTTCACACATTGTTTACATTATTTATTTTTTTAAAATCACATTCAGCACAGATTAAGTCAGCACCAAAAGCCTGCATGCTCCAACGCTGATCAGTCACTTCAATGTTTCCAGATCACTTGACTTAATCACCTACAGCATTTTTTTTTTAAAACATGTATGTATGTTATAATGTTTTTTGTTATAATGTACATACAAAGTAGAAACACAATTTTTTTCAAAGCGAAGGGTTCATTTTAAAAATTATTAACGATACTTCTGTAAGCTCAGAGTTAATAAGATTAAATTAGTTAAGTTTTTTTACATGAAAAATTGTATAAAGGTTGGAGTTCATGGGATATTTTTGTTTGATCAGTGAGCCGACTTTTTATAAGGAAAACACAAAACTGGTTTAATGAAAATTCAATGGCTCTTCAATAATATAAGAGTCTTCATTTAACACTTCAGAGATTTTCATTGTGCAGGATCATGCCGTCTGAAAAATATTGCAGTACAAAAGGGCGAGAGCTCTATTTTAAACCACAGTTTCCAAAATGTGTAGATTTATGACTTGACAAAAGTGTCGTAAAGCATGGCTGATTTAGAACAAATAGTGTTGCCTCAGCGATTTTTTTACATGGTAGTGTTTTTTTTGGTTTCTTTTAAAGCTGCCCTGAAAGGGATGAATAATAAAGCTCTGTTACAGTGACAATGTTGCAAGTTAGCTCTTAGAAGTGTTGACAATGAGAGTCTTCTAGAAAATGGTTTCTGGTGTAGTAGTTTGTAAAAGAAATTATAAAGGTCTTAATCATGATTTCTTTTGAAGTAGCTTACATCTTTAGATGTAAACTTGAGATGAAGATTGCCTTTCTCTTGTAATGTCTTTTTCGTTGTACCTTTCCTTTCTCTCTCTATCTCTCTGTGTCTCTCTCTCTCTCTCTATCTCTTTGTGCCTTTTTCTCTCTCTGTCTCTCTCTCTCTCTATCTATCTCCCTTTCTCTCTCTTGCTTGGAAAAAAGAAAAGAGAAAACTTAGGAGAATACCTACCCAAAATTGAGGGTTCGAAAGTAACCTTTGTGTCTAAATTGCTCTAGCATTTTTCCTAACAGGCACTCGAACAGATCAGCCACTTGTAGCCCTATGTCATAACTTTTTCCCCTGATCAGTACAGTCTGTTGTCCAGTGGTGATCCAATAGACCAATACATTACTCTACTGTTATTGCTGGTTTGCTGGTGCGCTAGAATATCCCTCCTTCCCCCCAGCCCCCTTTTCCACCCATCTGAAGTTGGGTTTCATAATTATTGTTAACAAGTAGCAAGTGTCAAATTAGCTGTTCTCAAATTTTTCTCAAATGCATCTTACATGTAGTTCCAGTGTTCTGTGGAGTGATGATGTCTAAATGATAATTGACTAAAGTCCCTAAAGCCAATGAGCTTGGGCGCAGGGTTGTTTCAGAATATGAAGCTATGCTCTTGAAATACAAAAGAGCATACTCTTTAAGTATTTGTGTATCTTTGCAATATTCTCTACACTAACTGCACATGTGGGCAAGTAGTCCTTTGAGAACACCCCCCCCCCCCCAAAAAAAAGCATCAATTTGTTAGTGGTTGGAGGTTGCTACTAATAGGTCCTGCTTCTGAACCATTCCTCTTTTATTTCTGTCTGTCTTGTCTGACCTTTTTCCAGATCTAGAGATGGATGTCATTGTGTCGATTTGCATCTCTTTGCTCAAACAAACCAGCAAGCAAACGTCGACTGTGGCAAAGATGTGATTATAAGTTTGGCAATGTTAGGAAAAAAGTGTAGGGTTGGTTGGTCTGAGAAATTGTGTGTTTTCTGCCAAATGTCGATTGAGTTAGGATTTTTCCCGGTCTCCATCCCTTTACCCCCCCCTGTAATGACAGATGCCATTTTTTGTTTAAGTGTCATGTCATGATGTCAGTTCCATGTTATTATGTAGCATGATGTCTCCAGATTGTCTTCCACTCCTATGTGTTAGTTTTCATTTGGCTTCCCTTCCCTCCCCTTCATCAGTTTGTTCTGTGTGTCTGCCCTTTTGAGGCAGAATATTGTTTGTTGTTTGTTGGGTTTTTGTTCTGTGAACAGGGTGTTTGGCAATTTGCATATTCTTTTGAATTAAAATTAAAATTAGTTTGAAAATCAGTACTTTGAAACTGACAATTGCTCTAACGGCCACCTGTCCAAGAAAATCATGTGTACAAACAACCACTTCCCACTTCCCTCCTTCTGTTTTTTCCCCCCTACATTTTAATGACATTGTCCGTCCAAGATGTTCATATGTCTAAGGCAACCACTTTTCTCCTTGACAAATGAATGGTCGCTTGGACAATTTATTTAGCCACTCTTGAATCCTAATGGTATGCCTCTGGCTGAATGATTAAATTGACAGGACATTTAAGTATGCACTTGCAAGCTCTTCACACATTTAGTCTCGTGCTGTGAAGAGCTGTTTCCTTCCACGTGCATGTCCTGCCGAGAATTCTGCAATTGTCATACCCATCTCATCCTCCCATTTTAAAAAAAAATCTGTTCGTCAGGAAGAGACGTGGTGCTGTTAAGGAAACCTCCTTTCATTTTACATTTTCCTCTAATCTTTCCGCCTTGTTGTGAGACCATCGGGCAAACTTTGCACTCCGTTTAAACTTTACATCAAGCTCAGAAAGACTAATAAAATGTTTGTCTTCAGTGGAGAAAACTATCGAATAACGAGGTGTCCTCTTTCAGCAAGGGGGAAAGCTTGACTGCAGTGAGACGGGTGTTATAATGGTGCAGAATATCAACAGTTGGTGTAAAAGATTGGTGACTTCCCTGGGAGTGAAACACTTTTGCCCTTCCTTTGGGTGTAAGGTGTTCATGCTTTGCAGCCAAGATTTTACAGAGAGCAAAGAGCAGCGGTTGTGACAGTTTTCAGTCTAAAAGCATTAGTTTATAGTTGAAGTTATTTGACTCAAACTTGAGAGAGTGCTTAAGTGGCCCACATTTCTCAAATGATCAAGTTGAATGTTACTGAAAGAGGATGGCTGGTTGCTAGGTATTTTTCTTTACCTAAAAACAAATGTTCTTTATAGTTCCTCTTTGAGATTGTTGTAAAGTTTGTGATTCCTGTAGAAGAAACATGTTTTGTTCTATGGTTTATAGAGTCTGAGACAAAAATATAAGATGATCACAATATAGTATCATCGCCCCCACCCCCCCAAAAAAAAAAAAAAAAATTTAAAAAAAATAATAACATTGCCTCTTAGATGTTGGGCCAGTATGTGACCTCGGCATGCCCCACGCCTCGCGTTCGTACAAAATACAATCATTAGAGGTGCTACTTATGGACAAAATTCTTGGATCCAGAAAGACCTGCAGTGGTTGCATCTATTCCACTTTTATGATGTTCGCATTTTTTAAAATGAGGATCCAGTTGTGGAAATCTTTGTGGCACCTTAAAGTTTTTTTTGTATGAACGTTTTCTGCAGCTGTGTCTCTGTCTTGACAACAGATTAAAATGTATGTGTGTCTGTATGTTTGTTTGTTTGTTTGTTTTGATGTGTGTATTATACCTAATGTTGTGTAGCAACGAGAGGATCTTTGTTTTGGGTTTGATCAAGTCTTTGTTGTGCTCCCCTCCCTCGATACAGTTTTGGTTTCAACTCAGCAATGGCTATTCAGGCCAGATTCTTTTTGAACGCTGGACCCTGGGCCTCTACAATGTGGTATGTATTTCCTGGCGACAGGACGTTTCATGAAGCGCTCATCATAATAATAGTCAACACTTGTCGGTCAGTAGGTCCCTGGCTTTTAATCAGAAAAGATCCTATAAAGATCTTGTTTTAAAAACCAAATTGGAGGGATGCAGATATTACGCTTTAGAAAAGAAGTCAAAATAGATTTAGTAATTCAAAAGGCTTGAATATCTGAATTTTTAAAAAAAAAGGTTAAGTAAGAAAAAAAAAAGAAACTGAAATTTTTGTTGAGTATTGAATTATTTGTTTGTGTGTAGTTATGAACAATTGTAGGTTCTAGTCTGTTCCTTCCATTTCTCTTTCAGTAATGGAATAAATCAGTTTTATTTGTTTAGCAGAATTAATCTGAGGATCTGGTCAGTTCCACTGAAAAAGTCCTTCTGTTTCTCCTTTCTACTGGCCTCTCTACCACTGGCATTGTAGGGACGGATGGGAAACTCGGTGGCAAATAGTTGTGATTGCGACTACTTTTTAGTGTATGTTATTCCTCTACCTCCAAACTAAGTATGTCTGCGTGCATGTTCTTTTCTACAAGTGGGTGCTGCTGTACTTCTCTTATACTTGAGTGCGTCAGTGTGGGTGGGTTTTGTTTTTTTAATCCTCATTTTGAGACAGCTTAACTTGAAGGGAAAGACAGTGAATCAGCAGTCAGCAGCCCATTTCATTCTGGAATCTTGTTTTCGTAACCTGTTCCCACCCTGTCTGATATTTTTCTTGTTCTGACAGATAGAGAAAAAATACTTTGCTGCATGAATTTTCCTTGGCATGAACATTTTTATAGAATTCATTCCACTGTTTCTTAACTATTGGTCACCTAGTGTTTTTGCAAGATTCAGTCATGCCGTGTTACTGTTTATTCTGTTTTCTACTTGTCTACTTTCCCAGTTATTGTTTGCACAAGAGACAGAAGGGAGTGTTTTATGTTTCTTTTAATTTGTATAAAAACAATTCGAACTAATGAAACGTCTTTAATTTCAAATGGTGTAAGTTCTAGTGTGACTAATCATGAACTTGAACAGTGCCTGAAAATTCAAGGTTTGAATCCATATGGAACCCAAATGTTCCTAATGATGAGAAGACATGGAAGTGTGCAGAATGCTCTGCAAAGTACCTTCATTGTGTTTGGTGGTGTAAAACTTTATTTTTTTTTATTTTTAAAGATTGAATAATCCTAACAAAAATACATGCCTCACAGTCACTATAGAGTGTGGTGTACTCTACTCAAGTAAACAGTAGCTGTACTCTGTGTTTGTAATGTTTGACTTGTGGTCAGCTGTCTTCACCCCCTACTCTGTCCCCCCCTTTGCATGTCTCGTATGTGTGTATTTACGTCCTATGTGTAGATTCCCCTCAGTGTGTGGTCTCTGTGTAGCCTGTCATATATCCCAGCCACTGTCTCCTTCAGTCGCCCGTAGATAGCGTGGCCATTTCCACATATAGACTTGGCTAGGACTGCACTGCTTGCAGCTTTTGTTCATTTCTCATGCGATACGACCATGTAAACAGTAATTAACCTTTTGTGTAAGGAGTTGTAAAACCTGTATGTGTGCTGTCTTTTCCACCTTCCTCTATCTCTAGGACCCTTTGTCCTGTTATGTAGATTTAAGTTTAATCCTTTGTACAGCATGTGAGAGACTGGAATGCATCCATTCTTTTTCCTTTAAAAAAAAAAACTTGTCTTGTTTTTCCAATCTATTTTCTCTTCTGGGTCAGTAAATTCTTTTCTGTCTCTGTCTGCCTGCCTGCCTGCCTGCCTGTCTGCCCGTCTGTCTGTCTGTCTATCTATCTGTCTGTGTGTCTGTCTGTCTGTCTGCCTGTCTCTCTCTCTCTCTCTCTCTCTCTCTCTCTCTCTCTCTCTCTCTCTCTCTCTCTCTCTCTCTCTCTCTCTCTCTCTCTTTCTCTCTCTCTTTCTTGCTCTTGCTCTTTTCTCTCCTACTCGTACTATCTCCCCCTCTCTCCCTCCCCCCCCCCCCCCCTCTTTCTGTTTATATCTGTTTGTTTCTCTCTTTTGGCTTTATCTCTTTCTGCTATCAGTGTACAGTCAGTCTGTCTTTGCTCTCTTCTTTATCATCTTTTCTTTTTTGTCTAAGGAGAGAATGTGTTTTAGTGTTGGAAATGAACTTTGTAAATATTAGTTTTAGCTGATCACTAGCAAATCAAGAGTCTTTAGATTTAGAATAGGAATTTTTGAAAGTGATAGTACTTTAATTGATAACTTTCAAGAAAGTTTCCTGTGCATAGTCATTTTAGCTACTTCTGTCTTGAAGCTCTATTTTCATTGTTTTTGGCACATCACTTTCTAGTCTATAAAGAATCAAGAATTAGAGATTTATAGACATGTGTAGACCTGATTCGTTTCCATTGCCAGTTTACGTGCCTCATATCATAAGAGATTCCTTTGTTTTATGGATACTTTTTTACTCTTAGCGTATAACTTTAATAGCCATGGATATTTTTGCCTTTGTTTTCCCCCCTCATATGATACAGCTTGACAAGCATGAACTTAGTTCTTTCTAATAGTCCAAAAGATTTGAAGACTTAATTAAGCTTAATGGCCCAAGTTGAGTCTGTCTTCTTTGCTTTTCTGATTGTTATTACCACTTGTGGTGTACTTGTGTGACCTTTGACCTGTCTGGTGTTGCGCAGATCTTTACAGCAGCGCCCCCTCTTGCCATGGGTCTGTTTGACCGCTACTGTTCAGCTGAGACAATGATGAATAACCCGGTCTTGTATAAAGACTCGCAGAACGGCAGACTCTTCAATGTTTTGGTGAGTTTGATTTGCAGCAGAGAGAGGGGTCTGGTCATTGTCAGACACTGATGGACAAACTGTTATTATTATTATTATTATTATTATTATTGTTATAATCTTCATCATCATCTTCATTATTATTATTATTATTGTTATTATTATTACGATTATTATCATTATAATCCATCTACTCTTTCTGTACAGTTGAACCTGTCCATAATGGTCGCGGAGAAAAATAAGTTATAGACAGCTGTCCACTGTCGACAGGGTCTGAGTTAAGGTCACCTACTAGACTAATTCTTAGTTTTGCCTCTCAATGACATTTCCTTCGTTAAAATTGTCATGTACTATAAGAGATTCTTTGCGTCGATTAAATGTACACAATCAGTCTGCGGATGAGTTTGCTGTAAAATGTTGAAGCAAGTGACTGCTATAAGCAGGTTTTTTAGGTGGACTTGTCTCGAAAATGACATACCATGGCCTTATTGGACAGGGACCGCTATGGACAGGATGGAAATATAGGAAATATGCAAGGATGTCACAGAATTTTCTGTGTGTTTAGTCTTTCAAATTGTTTTTTCTTTCCTTCACAGGTGTTCTGGATATGGATCGGTAATGCCATTTTCCACTCCATCATTTTGTTCTGGATGACAGTGGCCACTTTGAGTCAAGGTGAGCTTGCTTGAGGCTTGCGAGTGATAGTTTTGATTCTTGATGTGGTTGAAAAACTGTATGGCAGCATAGGCAGCTCCTTCTACATCTGTGACAGTGACGAGGAAGATGCTGAGCCAATCAGTCGGCTTGTCATTGTGAATGAGATACAGTTGGCCATATTTGGGGGGGGGGGTTTTCTTGTCAAATAATTGATATTGTCAATCATCATCATCATCATCATCATCATCATCATCATCATTGCCTTTTTCACAGCCTCAAACAAACACTTTCCACCATTCCTTATCCTGGGCTAGCCTCTTGATGTTATTTCTAGTCTGCCGCACTTTTCTGTACATCAATTTCTGTGACTCTTCTCCAAGTTCCACATGGTCTTCCCTTTGATCTTTCACCCTGTAGGTTCCAATCCAACACTTTCTTTGTTATGCAGCTGCCTGACTTCCAGAGAGTATGTCGAATCCATCATCACTGCCTTCTTCCCACCTCATTTCTGACTGGCTCTGTCTTTTTCTCCTTAACACTTCCTCATTGGTGGCCCTGTCTGTCCATCTGATCCTCAGTAACTTCCATAGACACTTATTCAAGAAAATGTGGATCCTCCTTATGCAAGTCTGAGATGTGTTCCATGTCTCACATATGTATAACAAGACTGATTTCACTTTGATTGTGTCAATAGAGCCGTAAAATTTGTACTCAAACTAACTCTTTTGTTTTCCCCATCGATCTCCCCAGATGTCGCCTTTTCAGATGGTAAAGTAGGGGATTACCTGTTCATGGGGAACTTTGTGTATACGGTGAGTAAGCCCAAATTACCTGGTTAAATACCTTTTGATGTTGGTATTTTGTTTTGCTTTGTGGCTTGTAAAATTATTACGTTTTTAATCAGAATTCGTTTCACTCAGGGTACTCATGTTCATAGATAGTTTGATGCTTTGATTTTCATTTTTGAGTGGAGTTCGGTGTAATATTTGTTTGTCTTTTGAATTTTTCTGGTCATGGCATGTGTGTTGATGCAGTATGGCTGGTGGTAATATTTAAATCTGAGGTGAAGGAAAAACCTGGTGTCAAAATCTGAAAATGGTGAACTGGGTAGTGTAGATTTTATTTAACCCCTTGACTGCTAACCATAGATATATACCCCACTTGTTAACAAAAATTCCACTGTGCTCAAGATCTCACGGTCACGATCTTTAACCAATGATTGTCGGCTTATTATAAGAGACAGTTAGGTAATTCTATAAATCAATAGAAATAGAGTGATGGCTTCATCCGTTGACAAGACATGCATAGAACAATCCATAATGATGTAAACAACTTGAAAAGTACTGAGATGGAACAAATTTTAATGTTCAGATTCTTTGTACCAGCTGTGATTGTCTCGCATGATATGCATAGACAGACATCATACTTAGTTTTGCTCTAGGTGATTCTTTTGTGATTCCTGGCATAGCAGCTTAAAAATAGACAGGATTGCTTTGCCAAGTGAAGACGGGGGATATTTATCTCTTTTCATTCAAAACTATAAAAGCAAAGATGACAACAAAATATAATATTGGTTTTCAAGGGCGTACCAGGTACTCCCACAGCACAAGAGATTAAAGAATGAAATTAGTATTGGAGAATATGCTAAAAATTATTCTGAATAGTTTTTTTTACATTGTTGTTTCTCTCTCTCTCTCTCTCTCTCTCTCTCTCTCTCTCTCTCTCTCTCTCTCTCGGTCGACAATTCAACTTGAGCTAAATAGTATAACGCAAAAGCATGCAATGTGGGGAGAAAAGATTCCATCTCTACACCAAATAAGCTTTGGCTTACAAGTATTATAGCAATAGCATTTATTAAAACCGAGCAACGGCTACATCCCGGCCTGCTTGGGGTCCTATGCAAGTCAGAACAAAATTTAAGCAATTTATCTGATCTAAAATTAGCATTACCGATTTGTTAAAATCGTCTAGGGACGTCAGAAGAACATTTCAGAACACTTAAAAGCGGGAGGTATTCCTTTCTCACCAATCTCAGGGTGACGATTAACTTAAAAGGCACAGTTGATCCTACTTTATGGAAGTTATTTCCCTTCAGCCTAAAACAATGACCAGTGCCAGTGCAGAATTTTTAATTAAATGCTATTTGACAGAAGATAATTGTTCTTTTAGAAGGCAGTTAGACTTTCCTCCATGAAGATGTGCTATCATTTTGGCACTATCCAACCCAATTCACCAAAATCAAATATGTTTGTGATTTTTTAAATTGAACTGTGCACATTTCGTAAATACGGTGTGCAATCGCCAATAAGAAGACCACTACGTTCACATGACATATAGGGTTCAGACATTATTAATAATTGTGAACGGGCAACAAACATGTGACATTCTAATGAAGAAAATCAGTGGCCTAATTGATAGTGTGTGTGTATTGAGCAGCGCCTTTTCCCGACCAAACCTGATCCGGTTTTATCATGTAGATCTGATACATTTGACCAATGGGTATCTCTTTATTGTGGTAGTTCTTATCAACCAGCTGCTATAATGTGCTGAGCCCAAAATGTTTTTGTTTTTTTAGATTACTGTTTTCTATTCTGCGGTGTCGGTTGCATGAGCTCTGGAAATATTTTGTCAAAATTCAAAT